GGTCCAGTGAAGATCCTCTCCAAGGTAGGGAATACTTCTTACAAAATTGACCCATTAAAGTGGATAAAGGTGCATCCAGTATTTTATGTGAGCAAAAATTTTTTCCATGTAGATCCTACAGATGCTAGCCAAAAAGAGCCAACTAGAGCTACCGTCACTATGAAGCCACCTTCAAAATGTCGGGTTGAAAAGATCTTAGCTAACAAGGAAACCAAGGTATCTCGAAGACAAGTTAGTAAATACTTAGTGAAGTGGGAGGGATTAGGACCAGAGGAAACTAGCTGGGAAAAAAACCATAACCTCCGGGCATTCAAGATAAAGATTGAAGAATTCCAAGCCAGTAAGTCGACGAGGACGTTGATAGATTAAATGGGGGAGGATGTCATGAGCCAACTTGTATAGGGTCATAACTAAGGCTTAGGTTATAATGAGCCACCCATGTATAGGGCCATGACTGGGTAGAGGTGCCAATAGGGGAGGGTAGATCTCTTGTGCTAGGAAAAATGTCCTCATTTTAAACATTGTAACGGTTAGTGGTAGCATAGCTCTAAAATCTTTTAGGCTCTTTAGGGGGTGAGCAATTAACATATTGTTGAGCTGTCTCATTAGTTAGGGTACGGATGTAGGCCACCCGTCAAGGGCTACCCCCCTGGCCCAGACAATGGTGTGAAGTCTCGATATACTATTCTCGATAATAATAAAATACATCTTTTATTCAAAAATCTCGCGTGTTGTCTCGATGTGTTTTTTGTTTTCTCGATATGAATGTGTCTTTTTTGTGTATGCTTGAGATTAACTGTGACTTATAGTTGCTTTTTCAGATTTCAAGCTATCATTGGCTGATTTGGGTGGGAGTGTCTATTCAAGTGCCGCACGATCTATTACTTGTTGAGAGAAAACTTAGACCGTGACACTAAGCGTGTCAAATTGGGTTTTTACTACCCCATTTTCCTTGGTTTTCATACTAAGACGAGGAGATTGCCAGCCCCAGCTAGAGTTGCTATTTGTTTTCACTACTGGAGTTTAGAGATGTTTATGCAGTGACTTCTCATATTAGATTCTAGTAGCGATCAGTATTACTAGTATGATAGATGGGATTGTTACAGTCTTGTATTTGGGTGAAGAGTATTGAAAAGTGTTGACTTTACTAAGATTTTTTAAAAAATAATTATGAGATTATTTTAATAATTAAAGAGTAATTAATTATTGATTTAAAAAATATGTTTAGAGTCAATTATAATTAATTATAATTTTTAATATCGTTCTTATTATTAGTTTTTATATATTATTTACACCACCTATATAAATAGGGGTTACTAACTCTTTCATATAATCAAGAATATTAACAATATGGTTATTTGGACTTTTTTCTCCTAAATATAGGTCACCATGGTCAAACCACGTGTTGTTTTGTGTGCTAATCTTTTTGTGTTTTTTTTTTTTAACTTATTTTCATTCACACAATCCTTTTTATTTAAATTTTAACATGGTATTAAAACCATAACAAGCTCCAATGAACATAGTCAACATTCTTCACTTTCTTCATTCTATGGCATTTCATTCTTCCTTGTTAACAAGCTTTAATGAGCATAGTCTTCATTCTTCCTTTTCTTCTTTTTATGGCCCCACAATTTTCCTTTTTTTTTTTCTTCTTTAATGGTTGATGTCTATCTCCAATCAGCAAACTCATCAAACTATTCGTAAAAGTCATTCTCTTTTTATAACATTTATGATGATAGAGGGGGTTTGATTTTATTCTCATTGTCTTCTTCATCCTCTATCATATCCTAAGTTTTTTAATAAATAATATTTCTATTGACATACATATTGCCTTTCTCAATTCCTATTGATGATTTTATCATTTCACATGACAAGCTCTTGTTCTCCACCTTGATTCATCCTTTCAACTATATAATTTAAGGGAAAATTCATATTTATTTTACAAGATTACTCCTACAAATAATTAGCATGTTCTCTTTGATGTCAAATCATTATTTTTTTCATCAATCATTCTTATAAAGATTTGTTAGATCTCAATTTTTTTTTTCGAGTTGGCCATTTTAATTAATCTTTCGTATGTCAATTTAAGGAGACGTATTGAAAAGTATCTGACTTACTAAAATTTTTTTTAAAGATAATTATAAAATTATTCTAATAATCAAAGAGTAATCAATTATTGATTTAAAAAATATATCTAAAATCTATTATAATCAGTTATAATTTTTAATATCTTTTTTATTAATATTTTTTATATATTATTTATATCAATTATATATATAAAAATTTTATGTACTCTATCATATAAGTGAGAATATAAACAATATAACCTTTTGAATCTTTCTTCCGTTCTTATACAGTCACAATCGAATCGCGTATTTTTTTTTTTTATGTCTTTATCTTCCTACTTTTTATTTATTTATTTTCATTCACACAATTATTCTTATTTAAAACTGTACACTTCCCCACGGCCTAAAGTCGTGGGCCCGGCAACTAGCACCAGCGTAAGAAAACAATCTTTTATAAATTTGGTAAAATCTGATGGATCTCAAAAAGTTGCCCAATCTGGCTTAAGACCAAACTCCATCTGATACAAATTAATTGAAAAAAAAAAATGAAAGATTTGAATATGAATAACAACCCAAACTCAAAATAATCGGAACTGAAGCAATCCAATGCAAAGATAATAAAAAATTGAAACAATCAGTGCAAAGTTAAACTCATAATAATCAAATTTGAATTTAATTTCAACCTAAAAATACATGAAATGTAATTAATTTGAAATTGATTGAAATGAATTAAATCTAAAATATCATAAACTCCAAAAAATATCAAATCCATAATTGTTTGAATTGAGACAATTGATATTTAAAATAATTCAAACTCGAGATTATCAAATTTTTAAATGATGTAAACTCAGATTTGAAATAATATGAACTCATCGCTACCTCTAATCTTCCACACCTTGAATCACGTCTCTGTTCAATACAAAAATTCAATGGCATATTGGGTCCGCATATTTTTTGCCCTACTCGAAAAAGCCTAGAAATTACACTGCAGGTGGACGGAAGCTACCTAGCAGGACTTTGCTTGCGTGCACCATTGTGAGATTTGTGAATTTCTTTGAGGTTCGCTCCACCAACTAACATTATTAACTTATTCATTTTTTGTCAACATCAAATACAAACTATTTTCAATTTGTTAAATGGCTTTCTTTTTCTTTTAAAATGGAATGCATACGTCTGTTCAAACCTTGCATAATACTAACTTTTTGGCATTGTAGTAGAAATTACTATGGCTAATATAGCGGATTAGGGGTTTTACTTTTCAATCTTTTCTCATATGCTTTGAAAAAGAAAATCAATCCTCTTCATTTTTTATTACACTATATGCCATTGATTGGACGGAAATTTGTTAATGATTATCACCACTTTTCGTCCAATTCATAGTTCAATCAGGAAAAACAAATATTTAAAAATTTAATTAGTTGTAAAAAAGAATATGAAATTGAAAAATTATTTAATTTTGATTTAGAGTTTTTTTTTATATTTAAGCCTTAAATTTTAGATATTTTAATTTAAAAGTAATAGAAATATTAATAAAGAATATTATAACTAATATTCTTAATAATGCACGTAATTAAAATATAACTTTCAAGCTGTGCAATGTTACTTTTTAATGCATAATTAAAGAAAACACTATCTTCTAAGTATTTCATTTAGCTCATTTAAAAGCTAAAAAGAATCATTAAGCATAAAACCTTTCATTAATTCCGTCATAATGGCTTATTTTGATGATATTGGACAATATCATAGCAATGCATGACCCTCTTTATCAAAATTAATGCGACACTTATAAATTACAGTCCAATATTTTTTATTGTATATTAACAATGAGGAATCTTTTCAATCTCAACGGTACCATTAGTCATTAGTGACATTAGTGACAATTAGCAACGGTTCAGACTAGAGTGAGAGAGAGAATAATATAGAAAGAACAAAAAATGAAAAAATAATTTAAATTTTAAATTACACATTTGTTATGTGGGCAACACATGATTTTGACATAATTTTGTCAAAAGGTTTATAGGTAAAAAAAATTTTGAAGATCTTTGGTCACAAATATAAATGAATGTAAGTATAATAAAGTGTAAATAACTATAATTAATTAAAATAAATGTAATTTCTTTTAAATATATAAGGTGAAAACTAATTTCAATTTTCGATCCTTTCTCTAAATCGTAAGATCCTAAACTGTCGATGTGCTGAGTTACCCACCAGGTTTTGAGAGTTTGATCCGATTTGTATTGGGTTTTTGGATATATTGTGTAGGTTGGAAGAGATTTTATATTGTTTTAATTTAAAATAAATATTAAAATATTAATTAATATAAAAATATTTTAATATTTTGATAATAAATTTACATTAAATAATTAGCGAGGTAGGCTAAGCTGGGATTTAGGTTTTTATGATGACAATTGGGTTTGACCCGACCCATATGAACCTCCTTTTTTTTTTTTTAAGAAAGAGAATAAAGTTTAACTTGAAAAATGAGACAAAGATAAGTAAAATAATGTAAAAGAAAACTTTGAGGACTAACCATGGGCCTACACAAAAGTAGATGTTTCTAAGAAATGAGGCATTTGTGGACTTTTTGATCCTTCGCCAAACTTGTCCCTCTAATTAAAGTAGATACTACTTTATTATCACGATATTTTTTTCTTAACAAATTAATCCAAGTTTAATTGCATTAACCGTTGGATTGATATCTAAGGGCTTAGATATGTTTGGATATGTAATTTTTAATAATTTTTCTTGATGCAATAATAAATAGAAATAGTTGACTCAACGCAGAGTAAACGTCAAAATGTCATTACATTAGACATATATATGTATATACACCTAGGTCGCTCCGTGGCTGTTACCCTGCTGTTTCCACCAACATTCCAAGAAGCTTCTTTTTATTATTATTTTTATAGAAACTTTCCATGTATTTAAACTCCCTTGTTACATCGTTTTAACACCACGACATATTCCCAAACCCCAATTCATCATTTCTCTCTCTCTCTCTCTTTCTGTTTCTTCAGTTGTGATCTGTTAGGTTTTCTTTTTTTTTTTTCCCCAAATCTTTGAGAATTAATATATATTTCAACTGAAAAATGGCGGCTAAACGGCTTCTTGGTGAATCTTGTTCCGACCCAGATGAGCCAAAGGAGAAACGGATGAGACCTAGACCTTCTTTTGCATCGTATGTTTTAGAATTTTCTTCAACAAATGCTAGATCTATTAGTTTTTAAATCACCTTTTCTTCCTGATTTCTTTGCTCAAATCCCCTGTCCTTTTGTTTCCATACGGATTAAATTTTAAAATCATTTGCCTTATCTCTTTATATTGTTTGTTTCCATATGGTGCAATTTTAGCTTTTGCCTTTCATATAATAACTTCTTTTATCATTAACAGTGTGATTGGGGAAGCTGTTATGGTGAATTGCTTACGTTCGGCCTTGGAACCAGTCCTTAGAAGAGTGGTATGTGATATAGAACTTTGATATTATAATTCTCATTAAGAGTATATATAATATATTTCATTTCTTGGAAATATTTTCGAAAGGTTGAAATTCATGTGCATGATTCAACTTATTTATCGTTTAATCTTTATTAATATTCATCACATCGGATTACATTGTACAAATATAGATAATTTCAAGTTTTCTGAATGATGGGTTAGTATCAATAGCATAAAAATAAAATTTCACTTTCATGCATAAAGGGTTTATAATATTTTGTTTCATTTGATTTCACTGTTCATTTTTTACTAGGTAATTTCTGATAAAAGTTCCCTTATCGATACGTTTTCAGGTAAATGAAGAAGTGGAGCGTAGTCTTCTACACCGGCTCCGTTCTTTCAGCAGGTCTCCATCTCTTCGAATCCAAGCACCGGAACCATCAACCCTTCAGCTAATTTTCCCTAAAGGCCTTTCCTTACCAATCTTTACGGGAAGCAAGATCATGGATGAAGAGAGCAACCAACTTCAGGTTCTTTTGGTTGATACGAGGGGAGACCAAATGGTTCCCGTACTTCTCCCAAACCCAATTAAAGTAGATATTGTGGTTCTTGACGGGGACTTTCCATCGGGGAACGGTAACGATTGGACTAGTGAAGAATTTGATAGAAACATTGTGAGGGAGAGATCTGGGAAACGGCCCTTGCTCACCGGAGAGTTAGCAGTCACGGTGAGGGAGGGAGTTGCTTCGATCGGAGATATTGAATTTACGGATAATTCGAGCTGGATTCGAAGCCGGAAGTTCAGAATTGGTGCAAAAGTTGCACAAGGGGGTTTCCAAGGTGTTCGCATTCGAGAAGCCATGACTCGAGCTTTTGTTGTCAAAGACCATCGTGGCGAATGTAAGTATTCATTCATCTATTTCCTCAAATATTGTTAAGCTCAAATAATGCCTTTTCAAATGTCATTTCCATGTGAGAATATTATCATAATCCACTCTTAATTATCCTTTTAAACAGCATTGGTAAAAAAATTTAAATTTCAAACTATTATATATGTTAATATATTTTAATTAGTCTGCCACAATTAAATTTTTTTAATTGTTCATTTGGAATTATAATTAAATTTTTAAAAATTTAAACATAAATGCACTTTTCGACGTGAAAGGATGTGGCGAAAATTCTCTAATTGTGCTCTTAAATGAACTCTAAATAAAATTTAAAATCTATTTTTATTAATTTTTAATTATCAACAAGCCATATTAAAATGAAAATCTAATAAATTTCCATAACACTGTAAAAAAAAAAAAAATGTTTACATCTATTCCCCTCCTTAAGTACTAGCTGTTGTACTTTGCATCTGACCCTAGCTAAGATTAAGATATACTAATGTATTATCAATTTGTACTTTTAAAACTCTTTGCTCTATTTGTTTAAAGATTTGGTGATAAATGCTGATCTTATAATATAACAACCCAATATAGCTTAGAAATGTAGGCCGAGTCAAACCATGTGCTGACCAAACCACACAGTTAACATAATACAAAACCAAACCAACTACCTTTTCTTTTTTGTTTTAGAAGTGAGAGAGAATCTATAAAGCATGCGTTCTCTCTGTTAAATTCTTCAATAACCCTTTTGTTAACCAATGAATTAAGAACCGTGTGAGTAACAAGAAAAAACAATTGAGGTCAATGCATAACTTTAATTGAGGTTGAAGAATTTTTTTTGGTTTAAACTCTGAAAAATTCACTTTTTTAATGTGGTCTGAAACATCTGACACATCATCACACAGGCAGATTATATATGCAGTGAAAGTCTGGGTCCTTGGGCACTAAGCTATTCAGATAGGGGCATTTCCTTTTCATGTTTTAAAACCATTCAAGTCATTTTCAGTCAACAAACGGCCGCACTGCCTCTGCTTCTTAGTTCTATTACTTAGAAAAAATAACGCCAAAGCCACGTGTTTCAAATGATGCAGCCATAGAGCTAGCCAGATAATGGTCCTCACCGTCCATTTAAGGAATTATACTTTAATTTTATTGCTTTTCATCTCGCCCGCTTGATCCGGTCTCCATTCAACAATTAATTTGATTAAGCTGTAGAATGACAATAATTTGTTTTATGTCTTTGATCAGTTCAATTGCTTAGAAAAATCTAATTCGAATTCATTGGTGACAATTTTCCTTTCTTTATTTCTTATTGAAGTGTACAAGAAACATCATCCGCCAATGTTGGGAGATGAAGTTTGGCGACTAGAAAAGATTGGAAAGGATGGAGCGTTCCATAAAAAGCTATCATCTGAGGGCGTTAACACTGTCCAAGATTTCTTGAAATTGTTGGTTGTAGATCCAGCCAAGCTTAGAAGGGTAAGAATTTGCAATCAATCGGCCATAGATGCCAATTTAGTGTTTTCTTTTCTCAAATAAACAGAAATAATTCAATTTCAATGATATTGAACAGATTTTAGGCCCTGGAATGTCTGAAAAAATGTGGGATGTAACAAGCAAGCACGCGAAAACTTGTGTTATGGGCAACAAACAGTATGTTTTTCGAGGCTCGAATTACACGATCTTTTTAAATCCCATTTGCCAACTCATTAGAGCTGAGATTAATGGGAGTGTATATCCTACTCACAACCTGAATAGTCTTAACAGAGTATGTGTTACGCTAAGCTTTTTTTTATTTTTTTATTTTTGTTGCAAGGGTCTATTAATCCAATATTCATCTAATTTTTTATATGGCTTTTGCAATTTCAGGCATATCTTGAAAATTTGGTCAGACAAGCATATGTAAATTGGTCTTCCTTGGAAGAGATAGAAGGAATTTCCAATGAGATCGGGCTGCTCACACAAGGTAAACAACTTTCATAACCTTAAACTTGAGCCCCTTTTTTCAGCCTTTTGGCAACATTTTACATGAAAAAATTATACAGGTGATCATATGGTAGATCAATATCCTAATCATCAACAAATCATGGTGAGATCATTTCAACAAAATGCATATTTGACAGATGGTTCAATTGAGGGATACATGCCAAGCGAAATGCAAGCAGATGGCTGTAATTGGCAAACAAGTCAGACTTATTTTAGTGCTCCAAACGGAAATGGAATCAGGTTGAACATCTTGGAGTCGAATTCGGATGATGATTTGACATCTCCAAGATCCTTCATCACAGGAGGTTAATGGTGAATTATGCATCAATGCATAGAAGCAAACAAGGCCATCAGTGAAATGTTGTGATATATCATCTTTAGGCGATTAACTGTTTAAGCATTTAGCACAAATGTAGGAAGATAAGGTGCAAATGCAATTTGCCTTTTCCTTTTTCCCCCTTCTTTCCAAATTCTATGTTTCTAAGCGACTGTATACTTCTTGTAAATAAGTAATCACAAGGGAACATCCAGCGCAGAAGAGGCATAGTGAAAATGTCCTTGAAGCATTTCCAAATTGAATTTTCCTAGTTTCTTTATCATTGATGCCACATGCTGAGCCTATTTATTTACCAGATAAAAAAAAAAAAAAAAAACTAATTTCGGCAAAGTTCAAAGGCCTGTTTAAAAATGTTCTGCCCATGCATGAAATTTGAAAGACAAAATGCGCTGGCCCAAGCTTCCTTTCCTCATTTTCAAGGCTCTGATCCACGCTTTACGGAGAAGCCCAAGTTTCCAGCTTGTGCTCACCTGCACAGCCCAATTTCTCCTTTTGAAAACTTTCATCAGGATTCTAGATGCAATTAAAAGTTATATATAACATTATAAGAAAGTTACAATGAAATTCGAAGATTTTATTACAAAATATAGTGGAAGTTTGTAAGTTTTTCGATTAAGGTGTTTGATATAATCATCGCGCTAAAAGTGTTCTGGTGACCCATAAAAGATATCATGGCAAGATAGAATTAAACAAACGTATAGAAAATAAAGATAATTTTAAATTAAGGTGTTTGTTTATAAATATATATATATATATATATGTGCGTGTGTCGTGTAATTTTATGTAAAAAATTAACATTCTCTCGCAACAGTAGGGCAGGTGATTTTGCATTAAATTATTTTATATATAAAATGAAAGGTCAAGCTAAAGAAAGATAAATTCAATAGAATTAATAAATTGCCTCATCCTTTTTCCTACGACCCTAATCCCTAAGTCAGATTCGTCCATCCTCAAATTATGGCAACATAAAATTCAAGATGGAGATAGAGGGGGGGACTAAAACTTACCTGAAGTAGCTGCAATTTCAAATACTCAAAGTTAGCTGCAAGTATGTGATATGTATGTCATTAATTCTCTATATCTAAGTAGAGCTTCCACTTGCATTTGGTTCAATTAGTAATTTGACGTCTGAGTTTGATTGATCATGACCTAATTCATCATTTCTTATTGCAATGTTGTTAATATAGATGAATGTTAAGTTTGATTTGATCTTAAATTGGTTTCCCAAGTCATAATCTTTAGATAAAAAGGGATGCAGGATCATTAAAATGGTTGATTTTGCATAAAATTAATTCAAATGCAGTGTTTCGTTTATGGATTATAAGATACTTGAGAAAGCAGCAAATAAGTCTCATCAAAGGTAATAGTTTGGGTTAGGGTGGATTTCGATGCGTTTACAAAGCTCAATTTGATGATAGTTATTTTGATAAAAAGTTGAACAGGAAAAGCTTGATGAAGAAAGAAATTAAGGTATTGTTTGGAAGGATTTCATTCTTTTAAGTTGAGTTATTGTTTAGAATTGCAAAATGAGGTGGATTTCTTCTGTAAATTTAAGCATTCGAATATAATTTAATTGTTGGGTGTTGGCAATGACGTTGAGATAAGATTTCTTGCGTATGAGATAATGCAAAATGGTTCTCTGGAAACTGACGACACGGTAAGAATTATCTCTGTTTTTCGCTCCTGGACAACTTAAGAACTAAAAGATAAATTCTTTGGGAAAAAATATAATAATTTTATTTTAATTACATTCAGTGAAGAGCTCCAAAGCCAAGTGTCAAGTAATTACAATGTCATTTAGAAGAAGAAGAGACTGCCTGTCTCTCTTAATTATTGAAGAACCATACAATGGTGTGAATTCTTTGAAAGTGAATCTTTATGGCATTTGAATTTTAGATTTTTTTTTTCTTGCCTTTTTAGTTAAATGAATCTGGACACAAAGCCTTTTGATGATGCATTTGGACCTATGCAGAACAAGAAGAGCCCAAAACTCCTACCTGTGGATTATGAGTCTTTAATTAAGAAAGCAGATGGTTCTCAAGGTAAATGATTATTAGAGTGAAGGCCTGCGTTATGCTGCGAGTTGTTTTGATAATATAAAAAAATTTTGTTTGTCATGAAAGAAAAGTAGAAAATGTAGCAATTTAAAGTCAAAGTTTTTCAATAATTCTAAAAAAAAAGAATAATAAATAATGTCCAAGTTACAGTACAGTAACCAATGTGGATCCGCCAATAGTTTACTGACATAATTGAGATAAAACTTAAGAGTCAATTCTAAAATACAAGTTCTACTTTTGCTTTCCTTTGACTTGTTCAATTTTTGGTACACCTGAATTAGTTTGTTCACTGCATATAAATATAGGAGGGTCAGCTAACCGCAGATCACAGCTAAAAGAAACTGATTCATTTCCAAACATGGACAACAGATTGCCAATACTACGAATAAAAAGAATTATACTTTTGCTTATTGAAGTACATATGATAAGAATACCAAATCAAATGATTTTGGTTTTGGGTTGAATTTAATATCAACTCTAAGTAGGAAATACAACAAGTTTTTTTTTTTTTTTTTGCATGGGATGCGAAACATAAAAATATTTCTTTCATTTTTTAATTCAGGTTCACAAATACAATATATCTATATATTGATTGAAACTTGTCTCATTAAAAGTATATTTATAAAAATGAATTAATTATTAAATAAACATAAAATATTGATAGAAACTTTTTCAATGCAACTCGAGTTACCTTTCTAACAATTGACAGCTTTGGATTTAGCATCGCCAAACTTCCAGGTGGAAGTCTCGAAGCACTAGTAACAAATTGGCAAAAGGCCCGCTGTTGCTCTGGTGTAAATTCTCCCATAATTTCAAGTAACTATGAAATCATAAAACCAAACATAATTATAGATCAAATATAGACTTCAAAATGCTCAAATGAGAGTCTTATGAAAGAAACATACATTTAAGATTGCAGGACTTTTCGCAATATATCCATGATCAAACTTTATGAGATTAGCAAGTGTTTCAGCCTGTGTTATTAGAAGTTATATTGTTAAAATCAAAGTGGACAACCAATTCTAATCAAAGAAGTTAGCAATATTATCACACAATCCAAGTGTCAAATTACCTCCCACAACTCTTTGCGACCACACAACAGATAGTCTAACTCTTAGTGAGTAAATATTTGTAATGATGCAATATCGAAAACCTACTTGTCATATAACAAATATATTAACATTGCAATGAATCCTAAAAATAGCTCCTCAATGCAAGCAATTAAAAAGGAAATCCATGATGAACATCAACTTGTGATTAGTCAAGAAAACTCAGAATAAAGAAAGTAGCTTGACCTGATTGAATCCAGCCCCAAATGCCTCCATTTGCAACATAATTCTAGCCTTGACAGTTGCATCAACCACCAAGGATATGTATTATTATAAGTTATTGATATCAACTTGACGTATTTAACAGAATGTTAGAAAAATCTATTGACAAAAAAAGAGGTGGGGGAAAAATGAGAAGTTGAAGATATACAGTTTCATCCCCCCACTTCAATATGTAGTCTGGATAGCTTGGAAGTGTAAAATCCAAACAGAGATCTTCTATTAAGGCCCCACGGAAGTGTAATACAGTAATCGCATCACTATTGTAACTACCCATTGATTCTACTTCAATTCATTGGTAAAGCATTATTTGGGAAAATATAAGCCAAAAAAAATCAGTTAACAAAATTAAATATAGAAAGGAAAACATTTTTTTCTTTTAATTACCATCTTATAACAAGATCAAGATAACTCCTACACCTACATTGTGTAAGAAACCTAACTGCATTGACCATACTATAAAATCTAGAACTGACCACTCCAAACTAACAAACTTCTTCAGCTCTGCTCTTCTCCATCTATAACATCTCTTTCTTCAGCAAAAGCTGCTATTAATTTATCAAAGTTTTATGTCTTCCCCAATAATATTTCAATATGAGAAACTAACATAAAAACATATCTATCAATACCCATGCCAAGAGAAAGGATAAAACTCAGTATTACAATGATTATAACATTATGGTTAAATAAGCACCAATAATAGAGAGTGTTTAATAAGCAAAAATTTAATATTGAATTTCTCTATATCACTTTTAAAGTTTAACTTTACCTAGAGAGAATTAATATATCTCAGCTTGCAAATATGTTTTTGCATAAACCATGACATATCCAAAAGGAAGCATGAAGAGCTATTAAGCTAATTTACCTTTGCTTTTTGGACAAGCCGTCATCTAGAGTCCTCCTTCATGTCAATTGTTAAGGTTGTGATCTCCGCAGAACTCTAGGTTAATTCCAATGATTATTAGGATTCAATGGTTACATTAAAACATTTTTTAAATAAATTAAAAAATAAAATAGCGGAAGACATCTTATTTTTTTCAACAGCCAAACCATTGTTTCTTAGAATTTTTGCAATTGTAACGGCTGTTGCAATAGCTGCATATATGACATGATAAATAAAAAGAATGATTTACATCAATTATTAAAAAAATAGCATACATAATTGATTTGGGTTCCATCTATGAATAATTATTTCAAAAATAAATTATAAGTAATAGCATCAAAAAAACTAAGTAACAAACACTTTGTACTCGAGAAAAACAAAGTTAAAAAAAGCTTTAAAGTAAAGATCTTCTCGATAAAAACTGTAGGCACCCAAAAACTAAGCAACTCCTTCATCAAAAACAAATAAAGCTAACTCTTATAATCTTTGAATTCAATCTTGACAATCTAAATATAATAAAATAAAAAAATTGCTAATATCTGTATAATTTATAATGTTAGATTCTTAATTTCAATAATAAAATGCTAAAAAAGGTAAAAATATTTTAGTTTAAACAATTTAAACTCTTGATCGATCAATTTTTAAAAGAAAATTAAAATAGAATGCGGCTTGCTTCGTCCAACCAAATCAAACTTGTAAAAAAAAAAAAAAATTAAAACCAAACTTTTAACTTTGATAGCAAATGCATCATTATTTTGTTTAGTCCTCGTTGTTACTGGTTTTGGGCCTTCAAAAGTTTTTTTTTTTGCTAAGCAGAACCTTCAAAAGTTATGGTGACAGTATCTTACTGATTCTTCTTTGTACTATAAAGACAAATGAAAATCCATTCAAATTTGCCTAGTAACAAAAATTAGGGATTTAAATAATTTTTGCGGTCACATTTTCGGATATAACGAAGATTATTACGATCATCGCGGTCATGAATTTTTTTTTTACAATTTATTATAAAATGTAATAATTATAATTATAATAATAAAAAACTCTTATTCAATATTTAAAAATAATTTATGACACTCTATATTTTTTATTTTCTAAAAAAATTATTCACAATTTTATTTAGATCATAAAAAACATTCATAAACTTTTCAAACATATATTTTTTATTTTTTTGTTTTTAATCCTAGTAAGAGTAATAGATTATAAAATACTAAATTTATTAAATAACTTAATCTTTTTGATACACTAATTGAAATAAATTTT